TATTTGTATTATAGTTAAACAGTTTGGTTATTTAGAGTTATTTACATGTCATTGTTATAATAGTATATACTAATTGTGATATGTTATCTGTATTATAGGTAAACAGTTTGGTTATTTAGAGTTATTTACATGTCATTGTAATAATAGTATACTAATTGTGATATGTTATCTGTATTATAGGTAAACAGTTTGGTTATTTAGAGTTATTTACATGTCATTGTTATAATAGTATACTAATTGTGATATGTTATTTGTATTATAGGTAAACAGTTTGGTTATTTAGAGTTATTTACATGTCATTGTTATAATAGTATACTAATTGTGATATGTTATTTGTATTATAGGTAAACAGTTTGGTTATTTAGAGTTATTTACATGTCATTGTTATAATAGTATACTAATTATGATATTTTATCTATATTATAGGTAAACAGTTTGGTTATTTAGAGTTATTTACATGTCATTGTTATAATAGTATACTAATTGTGATATGTTATCTATATTATAGGTAAACAGTTTGGTTATTTAGAGTTATTTACATGTCATTGTTATAATAGTATACTAATTGTGATATGTTATCTATATTATAGGTAAACAGTTTGGTTATTTAGAGTTATTTACATGTCATTGTTATAATAGTATACTAATTATGATATGTTATCTATATTATAGGTAAACAGTTTGGTTATTTAGATTTCGGGGAAGGGAGGGTTTGATTCTCCCAAATGTACAGGCCTAGGGTGGAGCAGACACTTTATTTAGAAATTAGGATTAAGGGTCTTATTTGGAGTTTTTACTGTCATTGTTATAATAGTTGACTAATTAGATGAAATGTTATCTGTATTATAGGTAAACAGTTTGGTTATTTAGAGTTATTTACATGTCATTGTTATAATGTATACTAATTGTGATATGTTATCTGTATTTAGGTAAACAGTTTGGTTATTTAGAGTTATTTACATGTCATTGTACAAATGATAATGATTGTAATACTGATGGTAGTTGTCAGAGTAATGGATGTGCAACAGGCTGGTATGGTTCTACTTGTCAAAAACGTAAGTATTGTTGTAATACTAATAGTATAGTACTATCTATATATGATTTATGTATTTTATAGAACTTGGACATATAAAATATACTGAAGAATACTAAACGAGTTTTATTTTCAAAGTTGATCAATGTTAATTCAACGTCTGGTCGTCAGTGACGTTTCTGGGAAATGTTAGGTGAGGTGCCGAGCAGGGACCACAGGAAATTATTTCACTGTGTAAAATGATAAAAAAAAATTGAAAGCAGCTGGAGGTGTGGGGTGGGGGAATAGGGGTAACTCGATTGGCGTGTTCTGTACGTTTCATTTAAATACAGAATCATACCACATTTCATTTCATTTACATCGTTCTTCTCAAATATCAATCAACTTTACATTTTTTTTCTATGACGAAATTCATCTTCTTCTTCTGCGCAAGAGACTTCAAAGACCTCTTCATGAGATATTGTAATCAGATCTGTAGGTGTCAATGTGAATGGACAAATAAAAACCTCTCAAATGAGAATTAATAAAAAGTTGCATGGTGTCATGCCGTATTTTTTTATCACGTTTTCACCTAAATGTGAGGACCATAAGAAATTTTACTTCACCAATTGTGTACGATGTTGTAAAGAAAGATTTTATTATGTATCTATAAAATATCATATAGTATGTTGTATACTCCTGATGATGAGGGAATTGTTACAACTTTCTACTTTGTTTTTATTTATGGTATATATATGTAATAATAAGTTTCTGTAATTTATCTTAGAGAATGTTGCATTAGGGAAACCAGCGTCTCAAGTATCACAATACGATGTTTTGGGACCTGAACTAGCAGTAGATGGTGATAGATCACAAGATATTTTTAGATGTATGAATACTGGTTATAATAATAATTCATGGTGGAGTGTAAACTTAATAGATACCTACTCTATCAGACAAATACATATTTTATA